TGTAGAGTTAATAAAACTGGTGTTGATTAAGTATGGGGAAGAAGGAAAGAGAGGTGGTCTGGTTTACCTGCAGCTATCTGGCTTGGGAAACTAGGTCATTGTGATGTCATTGACCGAGACAGGGAGCCCAGGTGGTGGAAGATGGGTCGAGGGCACGAGGGAGGGTGTGAAAGGTAGAGACCTGTTGAATTTGAGAGGCCTCTGGATAACCAGTTTGGTATGTTCCGAATCTTAGGAGAGAGATTTGGGCTGGAAATAAAGATTTGTGATTCATCAGCTCCTAATTAGTCTCAATGAGTCCTCTGGTAATTGAAACCTTTGAAGTGGCTGAAGCTAACTCAAGGAGAGTATAAAATAAGAAGAGAAGGTTGATGAAAAACCATGGGGAGCTCCAGCATTTAAAGGAGGGGAGGAGAAAGAACCACTTACCGGAGACTGAGTTGAGTGGGCAGAGAGGGAGGAGGAAAACCAGAGGGGGTGCTGAGGAGGGAGGGAGAGGTCACCCGTCAGCACGGTACCATGTGTCCCCAGTGTGTGAAAAGATCGGTGACATGGCTGAACCCAAACAGGGTGTAACTAAAGAAGCCACTCTCCCCACCAGCTCAGCAGTCTGCCCAATAACCCAATTTCTTTAAATGTTTTCAGGTATGAGAAATAAGAGGTAACTTACCTTTGGACTCTTAAATAGTAAACGTACATTTTATGTTCTGAGTACACGAAAGAAGTATTTTTGTTGCTGTTGTTCACTGATAAACCTTTTGTTTCATCTATGAACGATACTCGCAGAATAGGATAGAGTTGTGAGAAATTAAATGAATAAACAGAAATAGCTAGTGTTGAGCCTAGTACATAGTAGGTGGTCTATAAGTGGTTGTGTATGTGTGCGTATCTCCCTATGTCTCTGTCTCTCTTTTAATAGAGAACTTGTGCCTTGTAAAATGAAACGGTGCTGTTTGGGAACTCAAGTTTTTTATATGACAGATTTCCATGAAGACAAAAAATGTTGTAATTATTGACTGAATTGTGCTGTTGGAATTAGAATTAGGTTCATAACAAATAGGAACACTGTTTGATAAACTTGCAAACAAAACAAGCCAAGAATTGTACTTGCTATCCCCTCGTTGAATCTGGCCCTCTGTTTCAAATTAATTAGATTTTTGGATAACTGTGCTAAACTTTGTCACATCCTTATTAAAATTGTTTAAGGATTTTGAGGAGCATCTCAGAGGGACGCAAACTAATCTGAGTCTGGTACTAGAGATTCCATTAGCAATCACAAAACTGATTAATCTTTTACTCCGTTAGCTTATTGATTATTGCTGCAATTACTGCGCGTAACGGATTCTGCCAGGAACACCAGCAGAAAACACGTTTTATGCCTGCTGCTGAGGTACTCAGTCTGAGCACGGTATTTTGTACTTTTTACACAAAACTGTTTTTGTATTTTTAACTGGGAACACTTCTATTCAGAAAGTGCTGTTGTTTCAATGGTAAGAGGTTCACTTTTTAATTTCTCAAACACCAAGAATACATTACAGTTGGCAAAGTGCCTTCAGAAATTTCTCTTGCTGCTGTTTCATTTGGAACTTCGCGGCCACCCTGTATGATGGACCAGCTATCTTTACTCTCATTTGGAGGAAACAAGGGTTAGGTAGCAGAATCAGAATTAGATCCTATTTCAGTCAGTAAATATTTATTGAACACCTGCTATATGCAGCTCTGTGTTAGGGATAATAAGAGCCAGGATAGGATTATAAAGATTATGTTTAAGAAGTTATTTGGATAGCTTCAGATTATGCCCCCATTAATGTTAAAATGGTCACTGTTACTTTGCTGTCCAAGCCATGTTAAGTATCTTGGCATAGGGGCACTTGGGTGGCTCAGTTGGTTAAGCTTCTGACTTCAGTTCAGGTCATGATCTCACAGCTTGTGAGTTGGAGCCCCTGCGTCGGGCTCTGTGCTGACCGCTCAGAGCCAGGAGCCTGCTTCGGATTCTGTGTCTCCCTCTCTCTCACTGCCCCTCCTCCGCTTGCACTGTCTCTCTCTCAAAAATAAATAAACATTAAAAAAAATTTTTTTTTTAAGTATCTTGGCATGTAAGATTTAGCTTTTTATTTGTTTGGGTTTTTTTCTTCAGTTTGGTTTGGACTATTAGAAGTCATTGCTTATTTTATCACTATTGAGAACAAAATTGGAAAGGCTCTCTTTAAAAGGAGAATATTTAAAAACACTGAGAGATTGCCTGGATCTGGAAACCCCTTGCTCCCCAGCTTCAGTGCTAGCCCGTCTGCCCCTCAAGTGAGTCTCCTGGCATTCCTCTGGCTGTGTAGCATCTTCGTAATCCGAGGGGCGGGAACTATTTCCTTGCCCAGCTTATGTGCTGGGGAATGGCCACTCCCCACATTGGGGCCCTGTGAGTCCCCCAAGTGCCTTGCTCGTCTCACTGGGCAGCACAGGCGCACACACGGCCTGTCAGGACTGCTCTGGGCCGGGAGGTACGCGTGGCCCCGTGCCATATCTTCGTCCCTTCGAGAACGCTCGGTATGCGGCAGCCTGAGCTCTTAGGCCTGGTGCCTCTTTGCCAGCCCCACCGTGGCCCTCACAGGGCCTGCTCCTCAGAGTTGCTTGTCTGGAGTGGGCCCAAGCCATGGGTTTAATTACCACCCTTTACGGTGTGCTTCTGATGCTGAATTACTTTGCTGTATGGATCACAAGATTCTCTGTTAATACAAACAGAGATCAAACCCAGTATTTCAGCAGGAAAAAAAATGTCCCTTGGATTTGGAAGAACTGTGGAAAACAAAAAGCAAATGCTAACTACTTGCTTTACAGATACTGGCAAGTGGCACACTTAATATCATTACTGTGACTGTGTTAAAGGTAGCATAAAGGGATGGTTATTATACGTGGCCGAAAAATTTGTGCAATGGTTATAAACGTATGTATAGTTTGCCAGTTGATTTGGCACAGGTCTGAAATGAAAGGGAAACCAAATTTATTTATTTATTTTAGGAGACAAATAAATAAAGTTGGAAAACAGGTCAATTTCATGCATGCAAGGTTTTATAGTAGGAAAAAATGCATTGCACCTGTTCTGACCCTTTACATTTGAGGTTATTTGTTTTCAAACTTGACCCCAAGCACCAGTTTCAGACAACTCTATAATTAATTTGTTAGACAAAGCATAAAGGTATTTTATTCGTTTTGATCTCTAGGACTGTAGTGAAGTAGTAACTGAAATTACTAACCTATTGTACATAGCAGTTAATTAAAGAAAAGCATTAACTATAGGAGAACACTGCCACTGCTGTTGTCTTGTATCAGTATAAAAAGGCAGTAATTTTTTTGACAGCCACTGATTGGAAAGTTGCTTGCAGCCTTCCAGAACCAAGGGGGTACATGCTGTGGATCAATAACCGGCAAATTTCCCATTAAAAAGAATACCTGAGCAATGTTCCAAATAGCCACTGGCATCTTAATTTTCCATGGAAACCTCAAATACTTGTGTGCCGAGGACAAGTCATTTTTGGACAATTTTTCCAGACTACTTGTTAACAGTTATTGCTGTCCCAAAAGGTTGACAGCCTACATGATTGATATTTCATTTACTTGTCATCACTGTTTGAGTAATGGCGAGCGGTTTATTTCTGTGGTTTTAAGGAATATAGTCTCCTGAATGACATTCGCCTTGGTATGTATTCCAGAGCGTGTGTCACACATGTTTATGCCGTGTGTATCTAGGCTTCTACGTCCACAGAAGGAGAGGATCAGTTTCCTTTACAGTTTGAAAGCCCTTGGAGAGGAGGATACACTTGTATCAGCCCACAGCTATCAAAAATTCACTTCACTTTGTTTGTTTTCAGGACAAAGAGCCTTAGATTGTTAACTTGTGATTCCCAAGATGATGTAGAATCACATAATTCCCTTTATTTTGTAAAAAAACAAAACCAGAAACAAAACCCTTGATTTTGTAATGATTTTAACGTACGTAAAAGCACTAAGAAGATGTGTGTCTGTGTCTTCTAAAGAAGACTTTTTTGGAATGTCAGCAAGTAATGATTATCAAGGAAGAATTTCTCCCAAATGTGGCAGTTACATAACGTGTATGTGGTTTTAATATAGAAACGGCAAGAATGAAAGGAGAGTTCTGCTCTGTGTGTGACAACCCACAAAACACAAAATCAGTTGTTTTCATCGCTGACATTTTCCACTTTGTTATTTGTCACGTGGTAAAAGTGAGGGCACAGAAGCCGTCTCCAAGTTCGGTGGACATACGCTCACCAATTAGCAAATTAAGGAAAATGGGAATCAGACCATAATATAACCTGGTGAATGAATTTGTGTTTATGAAGGAGTGTGAAAGCTTTTTCACTTGGAACTTTATGTTTTGTGCCCAGAATTTTAAAGTGAAATTTGATCTGTGCTAAAGTGTTTAAAAGACTGAAGCATGTAAGGTATGTTTGCTTAAAACTGAGCTACCTTTCTGTCATATTAATCCTGTCATCTTTGGGTAGGTCATACCTTGTTTGCTTTTTCCACAGTCTATGATTTAGATTCCCGTCGTGTGTACATTTTTAACACAAATATGTATAATGTTTGATCTGCCGGGCACACAGGTCCAGGCTAGGTGGGGAGTGTCTTCATTTTGCTTTGCAAAAACCCAGAGAAAAGAACAAGAAGCAATTTGAGAAGTTTCCACTGAAAAGCTTTTTGTGTCATTTTTAATACATGTCATTTTCAAAATATTTCTTGAAATCAAATAGTAAATTCTTAATCAACATTTTTACTTTTAAAAACAAACGACAGAGTGGAGGATAGCATTATACTGGACTTTCAATGCTGAATATAGTCATTGTTATGTGCAAATAGGACAAAGTATTCTCAAGGCTGATATGTATGTACCAGCAATTTACAAAAGTACTATGAATTAAACAACCCATAAGTGTCTGTTCCAGTATTCATACATTACTGAGTAATCTCTTTCTATAATCTCTTTGCAGTATTATTCCACAGTAATGGAACAGCAAGTAAATGGACAGTTAATAGAGCCTCTGCAGATATTTCCAAGAGGTAATGTTGAACAAATTCTAATCAACAATGATTATTTCAGTAAACTGTTTCATCAACAGTTATGTTTTCCAAAGGTTTAAATGCACATAACATGATGTTTAGCTCTTAATTTGAAAAAACAAAAGAAGTATTCATTATCGTGCGGATTGCAGGCTATATTATAGTTATGGCAGATAAAATATCTAATTTACTAGAGTAAATTAAACTAACTAGATTGTTTTCTGTTTTTGAAGTACATACTTACATTCGCTTAAAGAACTCTTTGGGGGTCCACATGGTTTCTAAACCAAGGCAAATGAATGACTTTAATTTCGGATATTTATAAATTGTGGCTCATGATGGTAGCCAAAGCTGCTGTTGAGGAGAAAGCTTTCATCTAGTGCAGAAGCGAAGATGTACTGTGGGGTTTTAGGAGAGAAATTTTGATAATGTTTAGTCCTTGGTTTTTTGGGGTGACATTTTCCAAATAATGGAAAATCTTCATAAATAGGAATTTAATTGTCAAGTCTCCAAAAAATATTAGCTGATGAGAGTAAGTTTTGGTGAATCACCAAGTCAATTAATATTCCTTTTTTTTCTTTTAGATTGGCAGTATTAGCCGCCTATCTGATATGATTGATCAACTGTATATTAATGTTTCCTCAAAATTCGAAAAATAGTAGGGGCGCCTCAGTGGCTCAGCCGGTTGAGCATCCAACTTTGGCTCGGGTCTCACGGTTCATGAGTTTGAGCCCCACATTGATGGGGCTCAGGGCTGACGGTGGGGAGCCTGCTTGGGATTCTCTTTCTTTCCCTCTCTGCCCCTCCCCCACTTGCACACATGCACGCTCGTGTGCATGCACTCTCTCAAAATAAATAAACTTAAAAATTTTTGAATAATAGTAAAAAAGAACAGTTTAATTATGTAAACCATTAAGTCTTTCACGCATGATACCTTGCCCCACTTGGAATTCATATTTTTTTAACTGATGGAGCAGATAAGGAAATGCTCCAACTTTTTTAGAAATAACTTAATGCTAAGTGAAATA